ACTTATATACTAAATGTGAATGGAGAGCAATACGATTTCTTCAAAGGGGGTAGGGGTTTGAGATAGGGTGACCCAATATCTCCACTTATTTTTGTGTTAGTAATGGAGTATCTCACAAGGAAGTTTCATATGGTTGCCAAAGAGGAGGGATTCTCTTACCATCCCATGTGTAAAAGACTGAATATTGTAAGCCTAACTTTTGCTGATGATTTGATCGTTGTGTGCAAAGCAGATTGCAAATCTGTCAGCTGTATTATGAATGCTTTGGAGGAGTTTCAGCTAACCACTGGGCTGAGGATTAATAGGAGCAAATCTGAAGTTGTGTTTGGGGGAATAAGCCATGAAACTGAACACAAGCTACTTGAAATAACTAATATGAAGGAAGGTAAGTTCCCATTCAAATATCTGGGGTCCCCTATAACCACAGCTAGATTGAGGGGCCATGAATGCGATGCGTTGGTAAATAAAATCACAGCAAGAATAACAGTGTGGGGGACCAGACATTTTTCTTACACAACCAGGGTGAGACTAATCAACTCAATGCTGATGGGAGTAATTTATTTCTGGGCAAGAATTTTCATTCTACCTAAAGGAGTGATGAAGAAGATAATGGCAATCTATAGGAATTTTTTGTGGAATGGTAAGGCAGAATACACAAAAGCACCCCTAGTCAAATGGGATGAAGTGTGCCAATCAAGGATGTATGGTGGCTTGGGGATTAAAAATGCTTTAAATTGGAATTATGCAGCCATTATGAAACTTAACTGGGACATAGCTGATAAGAAAGACATCTTATGGGTTGGGTGGATACATGCGAGATACATTAAAGGGGATGACTTCTGGAGCTACAAGCCTAAACAAGACTCATGCCATTATTGGAAGGAAATGATGAGGGTTAAGGAGAAGTTTACTAGTATGCCTGCAAATCTACCTTATACCATAAATAGAGGGTATGATTGGTTACAAGGGGATGGGGAAAAACCCGAGTGGAGAGAATGGGTCTGGAATAAATATACTCCACCCAAATTCAGATTCATAGTATGGTTGCTGTGGAAGGGCAGATTGAAAACGAAGGATAGGGTTAGCAAGTATATGAATATCAACACGAACTGTGAACTTTGTGGTAGAGGGACAGAAATGGCAGAGCACCTTTTCTGGCAATGTGAGGAATCTAAATCTTTGGCTGCTTTAGTGATGAAGGACTTCAATATGCAAATCTATGAGGGATCTGTTGAAGGTTTTGGGAGGGCAGTGCATATGATACCAGGAGGGAAACAAAGGAAAAAGTGGATTGTTGTATGGGCTACTTGTGTTTATCAAATCTGGAGGTGGAGGAATGCCAAAATGCACCAGCAAAGAGGAGATACTGGGATGCCTACTCAACAAGCTATAGCTTATATAAGAAACTACTTAGAATATATAAATGTGTTGTAGTATGTATTGAGTGTTTGTAGTTGGAAGTTAAATCAGATGTAACCTGTCTAGACGGTTGTTTTGGTAATAAAGTGTGTGTTTTATGTGCAAAAAAAAATTAGAAAGATTTTGTAGGACAGATGAACTAATATAACTAATTCAAATACTCCCTCCGTCCTATAATGTTCTTCTCGTTTCTGTTTACGATGTTTGATCGACTTTCTTTTTAATTCAATTTATTTGATTGTAGGTGTAAAATTTAAAAATAAAATTTATATATATTTAAAAACTATATTAAAAGTTCTACATAACAAATTGTGATAAGACTATATTATTTTATCAAATACCTAATGAAAATAGGTGGAGAAAGTGATTAAAGGTTGACCGTGTAAAAATTTAAAAATGCATTATGTTTATTGAAAGGCATTAATATTTTAGAAATCACCCAAAATTGGACTAAAACATAAAAAAAAGTATCAAAATATGAATTCCATGTTTTTTTCTTGAAATAAGACTTTGCATTGCAGTAATATGACGTTGCTTTATTTAATGTGGTAATGTACATGTGCAAATTACTTTACTTTTTTGGTAATGTATATGACCATGTATGGTAATGTAAGTCTCATTTTGGAAATAAAAATATGAAAATCTTATTTTGGTATATTTTCAATGTTTTAGTCCTACTTTAATCTTTCTCCTCAACTCTTTTAGCTAAAATATTTGAGAAACTTTTTTTTAATTCTAAGTCGTACCCAAAACAAAAAAGACTCACACTAGGAGTAATTCTCAATTTTAGTATGAACAAAACTAAACAAACGTACCAAACTGTAAGAGTGAGCAATTACTGAACTGATACCAAAATTTCCCGAAAAAACTGAAAATACTGAACCGAAAAATACCGAACCGAAAAAGTACCGAGAAGAAACCGAACCGTACCGAACCGAATGGTTGGTACAGTATTCGGGAACGGTACGAGGTGACGTCCTATACCGAAAATCCCGTACCGAACATATATACTAAAATATTATAAAAATAATACCCCTGAGTAATTTTTTATATTCATTCACTAAATAATAATTTTTAAAAAAAAATTGGCTCAATTTCTATGATGTGTAAATTATATTTTTATTTGAGTTTTAATTTTTGTGTATGAACATAAAAGTATTCGCAAAGATTCGAAATACTCCTTTGTTGTCATTCATTTTTTTAGTTTGTGAAATACGTAGTATAAACTAAGTTTTGATACGCATCTCTAGCACTTAAATATTCATTTTTTTTTAATTTTTCATATTTTTTATTTAAATTCACTTTTAATTTTCAAAAATAAAAGTGTATTGTTAAATTTTAACGTGTAAAGTAGGTATGTATTTTTATCCCGATTTGTATCGATATCGATACCGAACCACCCGAACCATACCGAACTGATATTTTAGGATCAGGATCGGTACGGAGCAAAATCTCATACCGAACCGAAATATTTGGTACGATGTCGGTACGAGCTAAATACCTACCGTACCATGTTTACCCCTACCAAACTGTAAATTCCAAATTTCATATTGCACAAGGTGACCCAAAAGTTCCCGAAATCAGACCTAGGGTTTGGATGAAGACGATGGAGCGCAGAAGGGGCGAATCATCTTTCCTGTCTCGTGCAAAGAAGAGACGGCTAAGTGATGGCGTTGCTTACAGCATTTTTGTCGCCGCGGATGAGGACGAAATGGTCTCTGCGGAGCAGGATGATTGCATTTTTGAGAACGAAGAAGAGGAAGACTTCCCCGTCGAAGAAGAGGGAATCATGGACGACGAGGTCGATGATGAAGACGAAGAGGACGAAGAAGAAGAGGGAATCGACCAGGACGATGATGATGATGATGAAGAAGAGGACGAAGAAGAAGAAGAAGACGAGGAGAGGGAAGACTCGGCAAAAGTTTTCCTGGTTGGGGATGATGTTTGGGAGTCCAAAGCCTTCTCCAAGTGGAGGGAAGCGAATTGGGCTCTGTTTTCTTACGACATTCCCGAGGGAGACTTTTACAGAGTATCAGCAGCATATTTCAAGCCCTTGGAGGATCCCCGTTGCGAAAGAGGATCCCAAAGACGATCGGATGAGTTAAAGGTACCCCTAAATCTGGCACCAATTAATGGGTTACATTATACTTCCTCCGTCCCAAATTATTTGTCACATTTCTATTACCGAGGCAAAATATCAAGTTTTTTCAATTCATTTTATTTACATATTGGTAAAGAAATAAAAAATAAAAATTACATATAAAAAAACTACATGAAAAGTTCTTCGAAATAAGAGGTGTCAAGAATATTTTATTTTATCAAATAACCAATGAAAACGTCAAAATAAACAAAAGTTCTCGCAACTGCTGAAAAAGCAAATGTTGTGAATATTTAGGGACGGAGGGAGTACATTTTGATTTATTAAACTCGTAGTTGATTGTCCTGTTTTCTTTAGATGGGCCATACGTTTTCGCACATTACCAATCTCGAACCATTTTCGTGCCTTGGAGATGAAGTGAAAGCGATTTTTCTAGAAAAAGAGTGCACTTTGTGCTTTGAGTTTGTACTTCACTCTTTTTTTGGGCATAATGTTTGTCCTGTTTCAACCTTGTTTATTTCTGCATTTTGTCCTTGGTTTCATTGGTTGAAATGAAGCTGAATAGGGATCGGCCTCGTCAATAGGGCCGCCCCGAAAAAATGAAAACATAAAATTAACTCGGTCCATAATTTACATGTTGGGTCATATTTATTTTTTTAGGATACTTATAATTTATAATTAATGCCAAATTTAAAAATATTTTTATTGTTATCTAGCTGTGGAAGTTGCATGGAATTAGCAATTATTTTGTTTTGAGAAAAAAATGCTAATGCATGGAATTCGCAGAGTTATAAGTTTTGATTACATAAGTGGTCAGAGAATGAAAAGCAAGAACATCTTTTCTCATACATATCAGGCAATTCTACAAATCTAATTCAACTCTGTTTGGTACACAGAATTCAAACTATGAAAATAGAATATGGAGATAAGAATTCCAATTCTACTACTTGATAGCACGATAATGAACGAGAAGATAATTTATAAACGAAGGAAGTAAAATTTAGGGGTTGACATTGTACTCTATTTCTAATAATTTATCTAACACATAAAAAAGACGCCAGAAACTTTCCAAGAGTAGACTTTCTATCGGTCTTGCCTTTCGCTTTGTCGGAGGCAGAAGTTATTTAAAGTCTGGCACTTTCCCTTCTTTGAGCTGCTGCAAGACATTTAACTTTTTTCTTTTAAAGTCAATTTGCATTTTTTATTAGATCCAGTACTCTACGAAGGAGTCATCGCACGTATCCCTGTAAATCACCCAAAGTAATTTAAAATTAGAATAACTAACTAATCCACCTCCCTACTTGAAACCAAATGGATTCTAACCTAAAAGCAATTAAGTGACAATAAAATATGACAACTAAAAATGAAACTAAATAATATATAGTTTGTATAAATTAACTAAAATGTAACAAATACAATACCTGAAAATAACACGAACAAAATAATTAGTCCTCAATGTTTACATTTCTTCATCACCACGAGAATTTTTCTTGAATGTTCTATAAATAACACCTTCAATCGAGACCATGCATTTTGGTGCTCCCAAATAATACGATGGGTATTGGGACTGGATGAGTCCTCGTGTAATCCCAACAGCGTCTCTAGTACCGTTTGAAATCGTATCACTTCCGATAACATTTGAAACAAAATGACAGAACCTTTGGCTTGACAATAATTAATGATTGCAATCCCGTGGTCATTAACAAACCATGAACTTGCTATATCATTCACTGCGCTAATAATAGCATCTCTACCTAACGAGATATGCTCTCTTGTTCGATCTGGTGAGGTTGGTGATCTACAAGCTTTTTGAACCACCTCTGTATAACTCTCATCGACATTCATATACGTACAAGGCACACCTACATGAGTATCTCTAAAAGCATACCAAGTACCTCTCACTTGAAATGCAGAGACATACAAATTATTACTCTCTCTGTCCCACCAATCCTTTTGTTTTTGACTTTTAAAAAGATTTAAGGAGAATGTATTGTGTTGTTGACTTTCTAAAAATATTTTAAGATGTGATGGATAAAAGTAGGATGTGACAATGGATAAATTAACAGCAAAAAAGTGTGGTGTGATATATAGGTTAAGAATAAGTAGAGGTAAAAGAGACTTTTTAATAGAAATATAAAAGATTTTTTGAGACGGATGAAAAAAGAAAAAAGGAAAATTTTGTGGGACAGAAAGAGTATTACTTATCGTAACGGTAATTTCATTGCCGATAGTCCTTGGCTTCGCATTTCGGTAACTACCATCTTCTTGGTAAGTCAATATTAAGCAGGCATTCTCAATCCGACACCCATAAACTTCCCGCCATTGACTAGGATTGTTTTCTATGACGGCCAAGTCCAACACAGGAAGATCCGCCATTTTGAAAATCCTGAACATATATAGAATAACCATGCAAAAAAAATTAGGGTGGAGCTATATCCACACCAACTTTAGCTCATGCCACTCCATTTATAATGTAGAGACTATTTTACCCTTTTTAAATTCCTTCCTTGAGAGAAGCTTTCTTATCTTCTCCCCCATGGCCCCATCCCAACCATTCTATTTCACTAAATCATTACCCCCAACTTTTATAAACAGTTCCCCCAAAAAAAAAATTATCGATCAATAAGTTGTACTAAAAGTTTAATTACTTCGAAAAAAATCTCTTGTATTACTCTAATTATTTTCATGCTCCTAAATCCTTACTTAAATTCATTAAACTCTAAATAAAACTCTGAAAAAAACCTGTTAATATCTTTTACCCTTTTGAAATTTATTACCTCCGTTCCAGTGTATTTATCCGGTTTGACTTTTTTGTGTCAAACTGAACGTATTTTGAACTCCAATTACTCTCAATTTATATTGCATATTATCATAATGAAGTACAATTTTAAAAATTCACAATATGATAAATCCAATAAAGTAATTTCTATGTTAAAATATATTACGATTTTTATTTAATTGAAGCTCAAAGTTTGACTCGAAAAAGTCAAAATAGACAGGGAATGACTTTCACAACTTTTTTCAGAAAATGACATGTATTTTTCAAAAAACTATACTAGAAAATGCTGCTCCGTAATTAAAATTAAAATATGAATTTCTAAAACTATTACGACACAACCATTACAAAACTCTTACTAATATACGAAGCTAAGCCTCCAAAAAGTATCTCAGTTTGTTTCAAAAATTAGAAGTCTGATGGTCACACATAAAAATGTCATAATTTAATTAAAAACCTAACATTAATTATATCTAATGTTTTTTAAGTATCTCAAACAAGTTAAATACCTTAAAATTTAGTTTCACATCTAATATACGAATTAATGAATAAAATATCACGAGGAATAAAAAAATTTAGCATCCACCTTGATTAAAAGATTTAAATTGCTTACCTAGAAATCAGAATTGATGTTCGAATTCAACAGAAGAAGAGACTCCACGCAAGTAAGAGTGATGGAAGCATGAAGAAGATAGAGATGGGAAATCCGTTTTTGAAGGAGACTTGGGAGAACAAGTAATCAAAAATTTTTGGGGGAATATTTTGATTATTTTCAAGCTATTGATTTAGAAAGAGGATAATATGAGTGGAGGGGAGAAGATAAGAGAGCAGTATAAAAAGGGATAAAATGATCTCTACAATAAAAATGGGGTGGCATTAGTTAAAGTTGGGGTGGATATATATAGCCCCAACCAAAAATTATTAGCATGCCAAATAACATCAAAGATTTAAAAGCACTGACCGAAAGGATATAATTGATCTGAAATATCTTACAATTTGGAGAAATGAATGGAAAGTGAATTAGAACCATGCGTGTATATATATTCTTCCAAATTCAACTCACCATTATTACACCACTGCAAGCCACTATATTCAAAAGAACCAAAGAGTAGGGTGTGAGCTGGGAAAAGTACCTAAAGTGTCCAAGGCAACCAAGTACCCGGAGTGTATCTCATAGCCTTGCCATTGGTCACAAACAATATCATTTTTTACTTTATCTCTTGGATACAAACTAAAACCTTCGTATAATAGACAAGCTAGGGCATGTTTGGAAATAGCTCCGGAGGTCAGCGTTATTGTTTTGAAAAGGCTATCAATGTTGAAATTTTAACTAATAACGGGACTATTTTGGACGTAAATTCGGTAAGATCCACAAAATTTTTTGTAAAACATAATGTTCAACGTGCTTTATAATTGAGATTGTTCTGATGATTGACATTCAACAATAAAGTTGATATTATAATTATAACCTCAAATGAGTAATTTAAGAAAATATTTAATTAGAAAAATCAATTTAAAAAAACTTACTAACAATTTAGGTGATAAAAAATAAAATAAAAAATTATAGTGTGTGTTTGTGTGTGTATATATATATACTCATTTGAATTAAGGACAATTTTTGGAGATGATTATCAAAGGAATAAATATCCATTTAAAGTACCACATACGTAACTACTGCTTATTAAAGACTCATGTGGGTAAAACACCCCATTATTAATGATCAGTATGGGAATTCACTCCCTCAAATATTGTATGTCAAAAAATTAAACTAATTAAAGGCTTAAGAGAATATCGAGAGAACTTTTAATAAAAAAAAGAACTACTAATAGGTACGTAATTACTCCCACCCACTGTCTCTAAATATTCACATTTGCTTTTTTAGCAGTATCGGAAACTTTTGTTTATTTCGATGTTTTCATTGATTATTTGATAAAATAAAATACTCGTATTCTTGACACCTCTTATTTTGAAGAATATTTCATGTAATTTTTTATATGTAAATTTTATTTTTTATTTCTTTACCAATATTTAAATAAAATGAATAAAAAAATTGATATTTTACATCATAAATACAAATGTGGTAAATAATTTGAGGCGGAGGGATGGAGTAAGAATCAAGAAGGTTTTAGCATTGAGACAAAAAAGAAAAAGAAGAAAAGATATAAAGATGATTTGATTGAAGAAAGAAAGTAAAATGATGTGATTTGAGAGGAAGAGTGTAAGAAGGAGAAAAAAGTTAGGAGAGATGGTACGGTGCATCCAATCCAATCTCACAAAAAGCAACAATACACTTTTTTTTTAGGAGAAACAAATAACAATGCACTTGATTTGAATAATTAAGGAAAAATGTTACTCGGTTCATCTACTAAGGACTAATTATTTTTTAGTTATATGTTACTATATTTGATTAAATTTTTTTTAAATTATTTTATATGAAAAATGATATGATATTAAAAATTAAAAATTACATATTTTTAAATTATATAAAAAATCTACAAAATTAGAGGAAACATGATTATATTATTTTATTAAATAGATAATAAAATAAATAAAGTTTGATTTTGTAAATTAAAATTGAATACTCCTCAAGGAGCAATTGGAGGTGCGTGTATACTCCGTATATTCTTCCCCTGATAAAGCTACTTGTACAGTTGTACCCCAAGGGGTTGTACTTTGTATCCCATTTTGTGCACAATAGTTGTGTACTACTCCCTCCGTCTCACTGTCTTTGTCCACTTACCTTTTGGCACATCATCCAATGCACTTCTTTAATCCATTTTATCTTGTAATTTGTATATTAAAAAATTATAAAAATTATATATTAATAACCTATATGTTAAGAAGAATTAAACAATATCAGACATGACTATTTTTAGGCTTACACATTGAGAGAATTTGATGAGTCAAAGTGCTTAGATGAACAGTTCCAAAAGTCAAAACTAGACAAAGACAATGGGACGGAGGTAGTAATTTTTTATTCCGTATGTTGGTATAACGCTAATTTTTGTTTATGCACCAAAATTTTGTATCAGTGTGAACCATCAAAATGTTAATACTCCGTACATATCTTTAATGTAAGTTTGGGATACAAACAAATTTTGGTGTACATATAGCACGGTCCATTATTCCAAATTCAACTCACAATTATTACACCTCAGCATGCGGGGCATTTCCCTAGCAGTGCAAGTTTTTAAAAAGCATTCCCAAAGAGTGAAGGATGCTGTTGACCATGTGGCCCATTCTGACATACGGTACCATGTGTTGTCTAAATTTAATGTTTTGGATATTTAAATGTTTTTAATTTATATTTTTGACATTATTTTTTATACTTTATTTTTTTTCTAATATTAATGTTTTTTGTCTTTTTAACGGAGAATTTTTTTGAGATAAATTATATTTAAATTTAACAATATTAATTATTTGATTGATACTTCATTCATCCCAATGTATAGTTCATATTTCGGTTTATGATGTTTGACTGAAAAAATTTCAAATCATTTTATATTACAAATAATAGAGTTATAAAATACTCCCTCCGTCCATGTAAGATCTTTCCATTACGTGTTACGAGGTTTGACCGACTTTATTTTCAATTCAATTTAATTGATTATAGGAGTAAAATTTTAAAATAAAATTTATATAGTAATAAACTACATGAAAAGTTCTACAAAACTAGAGGTGACAAGACTATATTATTTTATGAAATGACTAGTAAAAATGAGCAAACAAAGTTAGTAAAGTTTGACTCTATGAATAGTGTCTGAGAAGATCTATGGTGGACAGAGGGAGTAAAAATTACGGAGTACATATTAAAATACTACTTCCTCCGTCCCAAAAAGTTTTACACATTTTTGACTAAAGTAGAAATTAAGGAAGAAATAATTTTGTATTGACTTTCCCAAAATAACCTTGATTTGATGTGTAAAAGTAGGATATGATGTGTAGATTATAAAGAAAAAGGTATGATGTGATAGGTAGAGAGTATAAATTTTTGTATACATTTTTATTATATAAATTTTATTTTTAAATTTTATCCATACAATCAAATAAATTAAACTAAAAATAAAATTGATTAAACATCATAATGCATACTCGTAATTAAAAAAATTTTAGTGGGTGAAGGAATTAAGTAAAAATTGGGGAGAATATTCGTTAGTGGATGTACCATTTGAACAATTTTTTTTAGCTTGACACGTGTCTACATCTCTTTGGCCAGAACTAATATCTACTGGTTTCCCTAAGAGGGAAAAAACTTTGAATATTATTCCCAAATGGGAAAGGTCAATTCATGAGAAGGAAAATCAGCTTTTGACAAGTCGTTTTTTTTTTATGATTTTCGGCTTTCATAAAGCCAATTTCCTTTTTTTATTTTTAATTTAATTTTTTTCAGCTTTTACAAAGCCATTTCAGAGCCACAGTAAAAGGGCGCAGTGCATGCGCAGTAACACCCTTCCTTTCTCCATTTTACACTCCACCTCTCTCTATTCAAACACTTAATCCCTTCTACAACTCCTCCCAATTCCACTACAAATAATCAAATCTTTTCCTTCTTTTTACACAAAATACATAATCTCTTCAACTACATCTCACATTCTCTCTTCTTTTCTCACTAAATAATCAAAATTTATCTATTCTTCCATAATCATCCAAGAAGTTGAGGTATGTTTTCTTAGAATAATTCTTTATAAGTTCTTTAAATATGTAATACATATTTTTTTTNCCACTACAAATAATCAAATCTTTTCCTTCTTTTTACACAAAATACATAATCTCTTCAACTACATCTCACATTCTCTCTTCTTTTCTCACTAAATAATCAAAATTTATCTATTCTTCCATAATCATCCAAGAAGTTGAGGTATGTTTTCTTAGAATAATTCTTTATAAGTTCTTTAAATATGTAATACATATTTTTTTTACAATATATAATGCATATTTTTTAAATTTTACAATATCAAATGCATATTTTTTTTTAAATTTTAAAATGTGCAATGCATATTTTTTTAATTTTACAATATGTAATGCATATTTTTTAAACAAGATTTTTTTAACCATTTTATTGTACTATGAGTAGATAGAAGCTTACTAGAATTTTTTTTGAAGCATAATGTATGATCCTGAGAAAGACATAGCGGGTCCTAGATCGAGGGACATTCTTACTTTACAAGCTACACATCGTTCGCGTGAGGTGTGGCATAACCCGGATTTTATAGACAACAAAGTCTCTCCGGTTCGCTACGAAGGTAGTCTTCCAACGGTTTTTGATGATGATAGAGTTTATGAAATGTTGCACCGGTCAGGGTTTTACAAACCCAGAAAATTTGAATTTTGAAATTTTAAAAAAAGGAGGGAATATTTTGGTTTTTAAAAAGCCAAAATATATAAATTTCTAGCTATAAATCTCCATACATGCCACTTTTAATACATACTATACTGAGCAATACAATGTCTTATTTAGAAAACCAAATTCTAAACATATATTGGGGAGGAGAAATTATTCAAAGTAATGGAGATATTTCCTACACAAGGGAATATCAAAAAACTTTGATTGTTAATTCGAGTATGTCTTGGGAAAATATTCGCCAAGAAATTCAATCACATTATACTGCAGCTGGTTACGGGATTTTATCCAAGATATCTGGAAAATTTCCTTACTCCGTCCCTGGTATCAGTTCGATGAAATTGATGGGCATCGACAGTGATAGGTTATGGGAAATATTTTTCCAAAAGGCCATTCCCTTGGGTTTACTAGAAGTATACATCGACAGTGATCGTGCGGGTGGAGATGAGGCCGGTCCATCGAGACGTGTTGATCGTGTTCGTTCGCGGGGGGAGACGATTGCAGATGAAGTTATTGACAACCCTGACTCTGATGATGATGAGGAGTACATTCCTTCGAACGACGACATTGACACAGAAGAACATTGGATCCATGAAATGCAAGCTGAAGCTGGTGAAAGGGGAATTTCTTACAAGTCTAATGGCCCTCTTGCAGTAGGTATGACCTTTCCCAATTATGAATCACTTAAAGATGCGGTTACAAAACAATGTGTGGCGAACAATCGTTTTTTTCGAAACGAATACAAAAAAGCGGGATCATGGGCATGTCGTTGTTGGTATTACAACAAAAGCCCACCCTGTTTTTGGCGTGTTCAAGCACAAGGATTAAAATCTGGTGTCTGGAAAATAAAACAATTGCGGGACGTGCACACTTGTAACCCGGATTATTCTCACGGTGGCGATGATTTAAACATCGATTATTTTTCCATTGCCCGGTTCATTGTCGGAAAAGTACGTGTGGATCCAGAGTACAAAGTGAAGTTAATCCAACATGATGTTTTACAGGAATTTCATGTTCCTGTATCGTATAAAAAATGTTGGTTAGCTCGGATCCGTGCTATAGAGTTGTTGTACGGTAGTTGGGAGAATTCGTATTCTCAACTTCCTATTATGTTGTACAATTTACAAAATTCTTATCCAGGAACTGTAGTCGATGTTGTCTATGCAACTGAACCGCCAAACCTTAATGTCACGTCTGAAGAGACCCTGCGCTTTAAGTATGCATTTTGGGCTTTCGCCGCGGCAATACATGGATTAGAATACTGCATGCCTAGAGTGACAGTGGACGGAACTCATTTGTACGGAAAGTATAAGGGTCATCTCCTTCTTGCGGTTGCCATGAATGGTAATCGTGAAATCTTTCCCTCTGGTTTCGTAGAACATTTGATACATTTTTAAAAATGTACTAATTTTTTATTCCATGCCCATTTTCAAAAGTGTGGAAGAAAAATAGGATAATAATTCTTTGATAGAATTACATATTTTTGTTTTGAAATTTTTCAATTAACTATAGTATATTTTATTTTATTTTAAGACTTTATAATACGGTGCACTAATTAAAATAACTATTTGGTGTGTTTCTAAATACACAAACAAAAATTATAACAATATTATAAAATTTGTTAAATTAGTATTTCCCTTAAAAAAAAAGTATTAATTAGTACTTCCTTCGTTCTCAAAAACTATTCCTCTTTCATTTTTTTTCTTCCAACAAAACACTTCCACTTTCTATCAAAAAACCACTTTTACCTTTACTTTTTCATACCCTACTTATCACATCATACTTTTTCTCTAATACTCAATCTATCACATCTTACTTTTACCCATCACATCAAGGGCAAAATTGGAAGTCAACTACAATTTAACACTTCATTAGTTTTACACAAAGTCAAAATAAGAATACATTTATAGAACGAAGGGAGTATAATTTAATCCTCAAAATTATATATCTTGTTAAATAGTTAATATAAATATTAATGATGTAAAGGGATGATGAAAATAAGGTATTTGTAATTGAAAGGGCAATATTGTCAATCTTTTAAAAAATAAAAAAAGTGGAGTGCAACTAGTAAAATGTGGAGTGTAGATATCAATTGCCGAAATAAATTTACTAAAACCTTCATAAAATAAACAAGCTTATATAGAAAAAAGAATTTTGAAAATACACTACTTCGTACAAGCTAAATCTAGAAAAAAATTTCTAGTACCATTATCTTTAATAAATTAATTTCATTTATGGTCAAATTTATTAACAGGTTTTTTTAATTCTTTTGTGAAAGTTTTTAAAAAACACATTTCTTGGATTTGAACCCAAGACCACAGGATTAGAAAGAGCCTTTACAAACAATCTGTCAATCTCTACCTAAATGGATGGTGGGTATCCCTTGCTACTTTCATCTAATATTCTTTAATACAAATATTCTTTATCAAATACTTTAAAAATATACTCCATACTATATAGTTTTTTAACTAAAAATTAAATCAGTTTTTATTTATAAGTTTTTTTTGAATAAGTAAATTTTATTTTTTATTTAATGACACAACTCAAGTAAATTAAGTTAAATTATATATCTAATTAAACATCATTTCTTTATTTATAAATAGAGGAACTATATTAATTTATTTACTCATATATATATATATATATATATATATATATATATATATATATTGGTTCAAGTGAGAATGCGATCTTATGAAAGAAATAAGAATGAATCTGTTGCTTTAGATTGCGAGATCTAAGGGTTAGAATTGCATCAAAATTAGGTGCACCAAAATGGTTTGAAAATGCATCATGTCGAAATGCACTAAAAACCTTTGAAAATGCACCATCTCAAAATCTGAGTGCAGGATGCAATCTGAGCCGCACGATGTATCAGATCCAAAGGCTAGATTTTATTTTTATTTCTTTCACTAAGGTGCATTCTCACCTGATCCAGCCCCTATATATATATATATATATATATATATATATATATATATATATATATATATATATATATATATATATATATATATATATATATATATATATATATATATATATATATATATATATATATATATATATATATATATATATATATATATATATATATATATATATATATATATATATATATATATATATGT